GGAGAGAGAGAGAGAGAGAGAGAGAGAGAGAGAGAGAGACGCAGAGAGAGAGAGAGAGAAGAGAGGGAGAGAGAGAGGAGAGAGAGAGAGACGAGAGAGAGAGAGAGAGACGGAGATGAGATGAGAGAGAGAAGCGAGACGAGAGAGATGAGAGAGAGAGAGATGAGAGAGGAGAGAGAGAGAGAGAAGCAGAATCAAACGGCAGCCGTTACAGATAGATGGACAACCAGAGGGCAGACGAACGGGGTAGTGTCGCAGACCCGGTCAGCGCCATGCATAAGAGAACATAGAGAAGTCAGCGCAGTTCGAGTCAGTCAGTTGAAGGCAGTTAAGATTAGAAGTGATGCGAAGCACAGTAGCTAGGAAATTTTATGTTGTACGACTGTATGCCGACCGGTAAGGCTGAATGTGCGTTTGGCGATCTTATTGTTAGATTGCCTGGGCGTCTGCCGCGCGCCCTCCCTGGGCCCCTGGTGACGCTGCGAGCCGACCTAGCGACTTGCGCCCAGCTTTGGCTTCTCGGGAGTCACGTTTTATTCAGGGCCTTCCAACCTCCCATATAACGTGGTTGGAAAACCATTAACAGGTGACGAAAAGAAAAAACGTGTTCATGTGTGGCGCTGATATCCGGGCGCAAGCTGCTTCAGAGGATGCGGCTAACGATCTACGTTCCCAATCCTACTCATTCCCAAAGTTTGAATTCTACATTGCTGATGGAAACGAGCAAAGGATGATAAACAAAAACTTCGCTTCCCACGCTAATAAAAACTATTCCAGAGGAAAATCAGCGATAGATTTGGTGTATTGTATCTCATCCTCCCCTTCGTGAAGGAATCGACTTCATACAGCGAGGAACATGGCAGAACAAGTAAATTTGAATAACTATATTTCCCACAGAAATTTAGAAGGTACCTTGCTCAGATAGTGAAGTAACGTGGTCCAAAAAGCAAAACAAAAGAGGCCACCTCAACATTTATCAAAGGAGCAAGAAAACATAACAAGAATAGAAAACCTCTAAAGGGGCATTCCCCTGCGTAGAGCTGATATGTGATTGTAACTTTTTTACCCAATTGAAAACTTGCTGTAAAATCTAATACAAACGAGATTATGAGATGTGTATTTTGCCTTTGATTGGGAAGGCAACTCTTAGTGCACTGATGTTTGGCAAGTCACGTTTGATGCAAATCTATTTCTTGAGTCGCCTAACATCGATGTACGAACCGGTTGCTGCAATCAGGGGCAAAGTACACCTCTGTAATTTCCTACACAACATTTCTCACCCCACGTTATAGGGTAATCTGATCATCCGCGGAATCTCCTTGCATGTCCCCAAAGTGTGTAATCATTTATTCTTGAGGTAGCTTTAATACGGTTTTGAAATATAACGATTACAATTTAGTTAAAACTGGGTCTTATTTAACCATCAGTAATCTGCCCGATAAACAATAATTTCTAGAAGGAGGTCAACATAACTTTACCGTATCGAGAGGATTCACGACGGCAACAGATAAGCCTCCTTCCCTCGATTTTGGTAGAAACAGTGATAACAATAGAAAATTCTGGATACAACTTTTCAGGCATGAAGAGTCTGTATGGAGATTGATGTCAGACCCAGGCTTCAGGCCGTACGCAGGAAAGCCGTCAATTCCTGAGTCGAAATACTGCAACGTGGGATCCCAGAAAGGGGATGTGATAGCTTTTGTAAGAAGTCCACTTCAGGAAAAAAGCCATTCGTAACAAATGCAGAGAACGTATAGTAATGTGAAATATGTCCTTTTAATTCTCCAGGCAATTAAACTTTACAATGAATATTTTTAATGTCTGATAATGTTTATTTCTTGTTGGATTCCTGACTTAATGAAAGACTTAGTTTTTCTACAACAATTTTATGAACAACCAGGAAATAAATTGTTTATTAAAAACTTACAGTCTGTTTATTAATGTCAACGAACTTAACATTAAAATTTAACATTACATTTCCAAAGGACATCTAAAGAAACTAACGAGAAGAATTTTAAAACCTTTAAAATTAAGGATTGTTTAAGATTCCTATACATTTCAAGAACCTCTGAGATTTGTCTTTCATTGCATAAGTTATTGTAAAGAAGAAATTTTGTATTACGGCCACACAATATAATAGCACACACAATCAAACAATTTCTGACAGTCCACGAAAAGTTATAAAAACCAGACAGTCTCTTGCAGGAGAGGCCATGGGACCGAAACTACGTAGAAAAAGAGGCAAAAGAAATGGTTACAGAACATCGACCAAATATAATTTATCTGAGTCTCAAATGAGTTTAAATTTTTTCAGGAATTTGTAAAACCCGAGAAAAAACATTAAACTCATCCAAAATATCAAGACATTTCCTATATTTTGGTAATGAGTGAAGATGAACAATCTCTTGGAAATTCGCGCATCCACAAATCTGTCAAGCATCTTACGCATAGTTAAAACAGGTGGTACGTTTGAAGGACGGGACAATTTGTAATATGAGATCTCTTGAAAAAACCCCGCACTCCACAAAAATCGTATCAATGGATATTAGGCATCGCCAACATCGTTAGTGGGAAGTGGGACAGTTTTGAAGGACGACGAGCAGGCAATGAGCCGAAGAGAGTTTGGGCGTCACACATACTTCAAATTCATTTCAACTTCCAGTATTTTTTTAAAACATTCAAGAAACAACATACACACAATTGTAAATCATCTAAATTTAACACGCCATACATTTGATTTCTACGACTCTAGGTGACATCGTTTGAACATGTGTGTATGCTATATATATAGTATATATATATATAATATATATATATATACTTATATAATATATAATTGCGTGCCATAGATGTATACAGCGTCTGTGTATAGTTATATATTTCAGTGTATGATCGAAAAGGGTGTATGTAAATGTTTTTATATGGTAAATTGTTTTTTTTTGAATTAAAGTGTTCATTATTATTGTAAAAAACTAGGTTGGTTATGGCTACCACCTGGCAATCAGCCAATTGAAGCCAAATCAATAATAATAATAATGAATGATAAATTATTATTATTATTATTAGTATATTTGAAAAACATCAAGGAAAAAAATACATAGAATTTAAGTCCATCAAAAATATCACCACACATTTATTGATTTATAACGACTCCAGTGACATGCTTTTCAATTTCGTATTAACCGAAATCGTAGCAACGGATCTTTCGCCGTCGTGGCGTTCGCCAGTGACAAAGCGGACGTTTTGAGGACGACGAGAAGGAATGAGCGGACGAGAGTTGCGGCGGCGCGCGCCTTCAGTCCGAACGAGAGCCGGCGACCGGCGGCGGCGGCGGCGGCGTGAAATGGAAACCGACAGCTCTCTGCATCAAATTTCCTCAGCGCAGAGAGCGCGAGTGCGTTTAATAAGGAGTTCATTCCGTGTGCCGCGGCGCTTTCAATTTTGCCTTCCTTTGGCCTCGCGGAACCCCCCTCCCCCAGCCGACATGATTATTAACTCGCAAAGCGTTGGCAGTGGAGTTTCTTTTTTTATGATTGATTACACCACGTTTCTTCAGCAAAGTGAAGATATTTGTTCTGTAACATTTCTTCGACGTTAAAGGGAAATTTATCAAGCAGAACATCTTTTTTTCTTGATGAACTACAATATGCCTTTTTTACAGCCTAACCTTTGCGCGTCATTTAGTAGCATTACGATAAATTACCACACTTTTTAAAGTATTCAATATCTGATTAAGATTGCATCACAATTTATATTTTAACCTGTAGCAATCGACGTCTTCCATATTTCTTTCCTACTTTTTATCGCACATACCGATCTTACCTTGCACCCTTAATAACTCGACTGTTACGGTTCATACAGATTGTGCTTATTAATTTTTCTGCCGGAATATGTTTCGAAAAACTTCTTTGATTATTCTAACGTTTGCGCAATAAGCTTTTCTTCTAAAGTTACGGTATTGTAAAAATCTTCAGGCATATCTGGTTTCGGAATATACGGACAGGTTCTAATAAACACATACGAAGAGTATAATAAATGTAATTTTTTAATTAATAAAGTTATAATATTCCCCAAAACATTGAGTATGAAATTTTTTGCTTTGCATAATCCTTCTTAGTTGAAGTTTGTAATTCTGTTCTGTCATAAGAAAAAGTAAGTCTTACGTAAAACAGATTAACGTAAGTCACTATTCACAGCAGGAGTTTGTTTAGAATTTAAACAGCCTGTTTAAGAAGAATTTTTAACATGTGAGTTCCACTAGTAAGGCGGTTTGGGTGCTCGACCCGAAGGAATAGTAGTATATTCTTCAAAGAGAGTGGAATGATATAATTAATTAAAATATTGTTGGCAAAAATGCGACTAATATATTATTTTCATTGAAATGCCAACGAAAAACTCACAATACAAATCATTCACGAGTTTGATGTTTACGACACGCAGCCGGCATATGAGAGAGTGTTTAATTTCTTACGAAACAAGTAGCCATTCTACGCGAGAGCACACTATAGGGTTCCCTTCGACTTCGAAAATTGATTTTCAAAAAATACTAAATTGAAAACTTTTTTTTTAAATTAATGTTATATTCTGCGTATTTTTCTACTTCATTAATTAAATATTTTACGATCATTAACTACAAACAAGTAAAATGAGCATTATAAACGTTTAGTAGTTTAAATTTAGTCTTCAGAAAAATTAAATGTGAAAATAGAAACAATTGATAGTATTTATTATCGAGGGAGTTTACTCTAATTTGAGCGATATCTTTTAAAAAGAGAATTTTTCAAGATTTAACATAATGTATTTTGAATTACGAGTACTTCTGACCCTAACAACCACCAACTCACATTTACTGTTTCGGTGTTACCTGTGCTTACGACTGTTTGCGACCTGCCGCTGGCAAGAGCGCAGAGTCCTTCCCCTGTAGAGGCGCGAGATCCCTCTGTCAATGTTTATATGAATTAAGACATGTGATTTGCGTCGACAGCAGCCGCAAGAATAACATTCTCCAACGGCTTGGTGAACTTCATCATTAAACGTTATCCAATAACGCGTAGAAAATGCATTTATATTTCTTGCAGTAGTCATAGAGAAGTCAAATTCTTTTTTCCCCAATTTTTTTGGATTGGATTTGTTAGAAGGTGGTTTTTTCGAAAAGCGTTTGAACGCAGCGCGGCCAGATTATCACAAAGAACAGGGCTAATGTCGTTAATGATTATAGCAGTTTTCTAGAACTGGGAATTTTTATTTGCAGTACAGCCAGAGGCCGATTGGGCGTCGATTAAAAGCAATAAGGTTTTCGTTTCGTTTATTATTAAAATGGATGTGTGTGGTGGGTGTGTGTGTTTTCAAAGACGTGGTTAAACTCAGGGTTTTGGATGTCAAAGCAGATTACTAAAATGACTATCAGAAAAACAATCAAATTGTGAATCTGTTTACTGTCTTGTTTCTGAACAACCAAGACTGCACATCAAACAACAACGTAATATATTCGGAAACAAACTGAAAAATTCAGTCAAATCTTTTGTGCGGGAAAAACACGTCGACAATAGAAAGACGGGTGGCATACAAAAAAGATGCAATTATCGGGATCCGAACGATTGTATGTATTCACATTCTTCCAAGGAAACCCTCCACATCGATTCGGATCGTAATGGTATGGATATCGACTCGCAAGCGAAGGACAAGGTGAACTGAGAAATATTAAATTGTATATTTCATCGTCCTGTTTTTGTGTCACGAAACAAAATAAAAAACATGTTATACGTTATTCGCCACGAAAAAGTTAAAAAAAAAATCGGAGCGGTATCTAAGGGCATGTGGCGTTTCCCTTGTGCGGAAGCAATTACCTGCCGCGAATCCCTGCGCCGACTCGCCCTGTGCCTGTCGGCGGCCGGCGGCCTGACGGCGCCCTCAGGGGCCCCGACGCAAACTGCATTTGTCAGGTCGTTGTTGTCGCTCGCTGACGGAGCCCCGCCCCCGCCCCCGCCACCCCGGCCCCGCTCCACTCCGCCGGAAGTACGCTCCCCGGAGACAGCCCGATACGCCAGCGGCCATCTTGTTACGAAGCGCCGCGAATAAAACTAGCAGTAAACCGCGGTCCGCGCTATCTAGCGACGGAGGCGTAAAATTTAATGTACGGCATGAATAATGCAGTCCGGCAGAGGCCAGCCCGCCCACGGCGGTACCTCTCTCTGCCAGGGCGCACGCCTCGCCCCACCCCGCCGCACCCCGCTCCGCTCCGTCCTGCGGGGTCGCCTCGCCGCCGCCGCTATCAGCGCCACATCTGCGGCCGCGCACGCAATTAGCCGCGCCAGAGACGCAGACAGTTGACGATCGCAGGCGCCGCCGAGGGCCGCCAATTGCGTTCGGAGAAGCCGCCGACGCGCGCTCCCTGGGGTGGGAAGAAAAAACCGCCGCTTGATTTATATTCCCCCCCCCCCACCCGGGGGGTTTTGGTACGGAGATTCAGCGTAGCGCGCTCATTCATTGCACGTAAATGTTCACGTTAAAATAGAATATTTAGTACTGAAACAATTTAGATATTTTCTTAATTAAAATAGCAATGTAATTGTGACGTAATGTACATTATTAATTTACTAAATTCCGTTATAATATCATAAATGACTCTTGTTAGTATTATTTTGACATAAAAATACCCGAAAAGATGTGATCAAGACACCAAACACGAAGTCAGCAATGGCGATATAAATCTGTGACAGCTAGTGATTTGAGACTAGCAGATGGAACGCTATTCAGATGTTTCCACTATTCATTATGTTACCATCAACACGTGAAGTTTCACACTTCTCTTAACATTTCCTCTGCCTAAAATCTTTGAAAATCTCTTTCACCCGAAAGCTCTGTTGATTAGCTCTTCTTGTTACTTCGCTTCCAATGTTCTTCAATATTCGTGAATATTACTTTCATTTCCTTTCCAATATTTAATAAGCAAAATTTTACATCACACCAGCCGGCGCAAAGCACGACTGAGCTGTAATTGACAGTGAGCAGCTATCAATTATAATGCGGATATGTTATGACAATGTTCCTTAAAAAGTACCAGTCGTACTCCTAGGCTCGTTTCTAAGTTAATAGAGAGTACCATGCGTGGTGTGTGTTGCTATATAAAGGACATTTCAGCTCTGAACTCAGGAGTGAAAAGATTTTATAAGAGGTGTTTTGAAGGACCAAGCGCCCTTGTAACACACTAGGGTATCCGACAATGCTGAACAGCGAGAAGCCCTCCTGCTTCTCAGACGCTTGGTGCCAAGCACCTTCAAAGAAACAGAATTTCCGTTAATGGTACTTTTACCCCATACGTCAGTCTCCTACACAGTTTTTACTGTTCTTTGACATATCAAAATTCACCTACCTAATTCTAATATTAGTAAGAAACGGATCATAATCCAAGCAGTGAAGCTGTCATCCAAGAAATCGCCGGCCAACAATAATGCAAGAACAAACATATTGACACCGACACGATTAGGGTTGTTTCGAGAAATGTTCATAGTACTGTCACTTAATAAGGCGCGAAAACTAGTATTTTTTATTTTATTTTACATAACATTAATTATAGAACTAACACGAACTTATGCAGTTTTAAGAAAGGGTCCAAAAAAATTGAAACTTCAATGGAAGCAATACAAATCGGATCACTGCCATCCTTACAAATGCAGAATAGCATAGAATTTTTCTCTACACAGCGACTGAATTCGACCTAGCTCACAAACTAGTGTCGGAAACTCTGCCACCGTCGGGACTCATCAAGTCATGCCCTGAGCCACAAACGCTGGTGGTTTGTATCGTAAATAAAACAAGAGTTTAATATTGTTGCAAAGATGTACTTTTAATGTACTTAACTATTTTAAATGTATCGGTCCTGGTTAATTTAAATTCAATTTTTGCTCATTTCAATTTTTTTTTAGTTCCGTACGATACAATTTTACTGATTTATTTTGATAGATGGAGGTTGATTGGTTTCCTCTGATGTTACGAGTACACTCACATAGTTGGAGGGGACTGACGGCTTACTTCTTCATGGTTTCTAAAGAGTTTTAATATCACTTTTTAAAATAAATTGGAACAACTTATAATCTAAGAAGCATGATCATCCTCTGGTTTTAGATAATATTTAAAAACATAGTATTTGAATGTAAGGACAATATTTGAAATATATTTCGTAACTGTGATCTTCGTTTACAATATTTTGTAAAAGATCTCAATCAGGATGATTATCTACAAGGCAGTCTCTTTGCTAGAATGCTTTCGTCTCCCTACCCAAGGTTCACTAAATTAGTACCCGAAAATGCGTCAACCCGTACTCTACTGATCATTTGCTTAGGTTAATCACAGAGTTCTTCCACATCCTGAAAATAATAATCATGAAACGAATACTGACATGGTGAAATAAACAGAGAGGTTGATAAAAGAATATACAGAAAATGTCAATTTTCGATTCGGTGTTAGTAGTAATGATCAGTAGAGTGTAATTTACTCTACTGATCATTTGCTTAGGTTAGTCACAGAGTTCTTCCACATCTTGAAAATAATAACCATGAAACGAATACTGACATGGTGAAATAAACTGAGAGGTTGATAAAAGAATATACAGAAAATATCCGTACATCGATTCGGTGTTTGTAGTGTGTAATTTATATAGTGCGAGAACGTACGAAATAAAAGAGCAAAGAGTCCCCTTTCGTGACGTGACAGACACGCAAAGGCATCTTGCGCGGGTAACGTGGCAGTGAAGTTACCGTGCATTACAATTTGTATTGATCCGGTCAAAGAAATATGAATCCTCTCTACAAACGAGGAGAGAAAATGGAGGTTTCTTGTTAAAGATAAATTTTTCACGTGGATTTAAATTACTTTCGTTAAACCAATTACGTCGCGTAGAACAAGTACGTACGTAAAGAACCGAATATCTTAGGGACAATTTCCTGTAAAAGAAGGTGGAAATGTCAACGTATTACCGAAAGTTAAAAGCGAATATTCAGTTTAAGTCAAGTTAGAGTAGGTTGCAGTGTCACAACTGTTTTGTAATGTCAGTAAACTCTTTTTAAACTAGGTATTGCGCTAAATTTTACGTTCATGATTTTCGAATAGTATATAAAACTGTTAGCTGTCAATATTTAATATTGTTTTGCCTCAAATTTCTATTTTTATTATTAATCACCAAATTTAGAAAAGTATGTCAACCAAAGAAATGGATTTAAGACATACTGCGATTACATGTTCACGTAATATTCATACGAGTGAAAATGTCTTTTTCGGGAAATACACAACTCTTACCTCTATTCACATGCTATGATAGTCAAATCGAAGAACCCACTCCGTTCTTGACTCCAAATACACAGATAAGGTAGAATTTTCTCTATCTGAATACTTATATTAAGACCATTATGAACATCTATACCTTCTAATTAAAACAAAATCTACGTTAATGTTTAACAGTGCTTATTTTTGTGATTAAATAGATTAATGTCTAAAAATCTAATGTAAACTAAAAAGTGTGGTTATTTAGTTCCGTAGAAACAAGTTGATGTTTCTTAATTGTTTATTATTAATAACACATGAATTAGATTTTGCACCACTTTAAATTTTCGAAACGCAGGAATAATAGACATGAAAAATGGATGCAGACAATACTATTTTTCTTGAATACAAAGCAAAGGTACAGAATCATGCTTAACATTGTGATTGACAGGAAAAAATAAAATTAAAACAAAAATGGCCGCAAATATCTGTATTACTAAATTCGGACGCATGTAGAAATTCAAAGAATGTTATTCAGCCTGCGGCCATCTCAGAGGTAAAAGAGATAGCTATATAGTTGCGATAAACACCAAAGAAATCGAGGAAGATTGAAAAATGGTGTCACAGAAAAATGCAAATATTTCGGTGTGTCATTCCACCTATTCTAATTTTCTGCGCACCAACTGAATTGCTACACTGCTTCCGACACAACGGACGTCCTGTGATAACAAGACTTCCAGGAAGAGATTGTTCGCCTTTAAATGTTAGCTAT